AGGGGACTGTCTATTGTTTGTATATGGAAAAATGAGCCTAGATCTTGAAGTTTGATGAAGTTTAGATCTAGGACCTAGATCTAGATTTACAAAGGTATTTAGGTACCAAAGATCAAAATAGGTTTCAATGGCAGTTAGATGCCTAAGTATGATACACAAAGGTACCTATTTGCATTTGAAATGCCTAAATACCTTTATAAATCTGGTCCCTAGTCTAAAACTTTACTGCCAGCCCCATCTTTATAATGGGCTCAATTAACATCCTGGACCTACACATACAAATGTTGGGGAAGTTTGGATCCATGTCCATGCCTTTTGACTTGGACCCATTTCTGTTTGTATCTAATCACATCAACAAAGATTGGTGAGTATGGGACAGCTGTCCATCTGTTGGTACAATTTCAAGAGGAGGAGAGGCAGGGCATCTCTGGGACTCCCTTCCCTTCAGTTATGCCAATGTGTTTATATGGCATCTGTAGGGCCCTACTAAATTCATGGCCATAAAAAACACATCACGGGCTGTGAAATGTGGTCTCCTCCCTCCCATGAAATCTGGTCTTTTGTGTGCTTTTACCCTATACTATACAGATTTCACAGCGGGGACAAAAGTTTCTCAAATTGGGGGTCCTGACCCAAAAGTGAGTTGCAGGGGTTATTTTAGTGGGATTGCCACCTTAACTTCTCTGCTGACTTCAGAGCTGGGTAGCCAGAGAGTGGCAGCTGTTGGCCAGGCGCCCAGCTCTAAAGGCAGTGCCCCATCAGCAGCAGTGCAGAAGTAAAGGTGACAATACCATACAATGCCATCCTTATTTCTGCGCAGCTGCCTTCAGAGCTGGGTGGCTGGAGAGTGGTGGCTGCTGACTGAGGGCCCAGCTCTGCAGGCAGCAGCGCAGAAGTAAGGATAGCAATACCATACCATAGCATCCTTACTTCTGCACTGCTGCTGGAGCAGTACCACAACCCCCCCTACAATAACCTTGCCACCCTTCACACACACACAACTCCTTTTTGGGTTACAACGCCATGAAATTTCAGATTTAAATAGCTGAAATCATGAAATTTATGATTTTTAAAATCCTATAACCGTGAAATTGACCAAAATGGATGGTGAATTTATTAGGGCCCTAGGCATCTGTCCTGCTGAATCTGAAGACTTTCTTTCCTTTGATTGAACAACTGTTTTATTGCATATTGGGAGATGGGCTCCTGGTGATTTCCACTGTTCCATTTCCAGCGTTCATTGAGCAATGATGCCTTTTAAAAACTGAGATACATTTTAAATTGTTTTCTTGGTGCAAAGATGTGTCAGTTGAGTTTCCTAAGGGAGCTTTGGGAACATACAAGAAAGTGGAGTAAGTTCTCTTCACAATAGTTTTTTCTATTAAGATAGGACAGGGAAAGCAAACAACATGTCTTACCACTTCGTGTTGCCATCTTCTCCATTGAGAGCTCAGGCAAAAGGGTGACAAAAGCTGACAGCGGGAGATACCTTGTAATCAAGAATATTGATGTGTGTTGAAATGCTTGAAAGTAGATTATGAGTAAGTGTCTGCAAAAGTGAATATTTTTAGCCTTATTTTGCTACAAACTACAGCTGTTACTAAAGTCAGTGGGAGGATTCCCATGCCTACCTACTAGGTCAGAATTTGGCTCTTTATATAAAAATAAGCCTTTTAGGAATACACTGTACCTAGCTAATAAAAAATAGTATTTTTTTCTTCAACTACATGATTAGATTAGAGATAACATAATTTTTATGAAGCATTTTTATTCTTGTGGTAAAATATTCCTAGCACTGAAGGTTGGGCTCATTTACATTCCAGAGATGAAACTGTATACAAAATTATTACGCAGCAGTTTGAGGAACTACTTAAATGTTTTATTTTGTAAATTTAATGAGAGATTTGAATCTCAGTTGTTAAAATTAAACATGCAGTATATCTAGCTACTAAATAAATGTTAAAGAATCATTTAAACTCTACTGGACTGTGTGAAACCAACACTTACGTTCTCATCAATTTTGCATATCATGGTTGGGTTAATAAAATCGCTGAAATCATAGTAACAGTTACGAGTGTTTGAATCTGGCTTTGCAATTCATCAAATGTAAAGTTTTCTAGTTTGTTTTATTTTCATCTTTAAAGTGTTGGCTGGGTAACTGTATGGAGAGACGGTAATATGAAGTCAAGTCACACACAAAAATATCTCTCTTGCTCTCTCTGGCTTGTTTAAAAAAAAATCAAACTAACGTTTTCTACATTTTTGCAGTGGCAAAGAGGTAGAGCAAAGATTGGGAACTGTTTGGATAACTAGATGATTTGTAACTGCTAGTGGCTCACTACTATGCAGGTGATAATCTAGGACAGCAAAATACGATTGACAGAAAACTGTGGGCTGGTAGGCACAGATTTGCTAGTTTGCCTGAGGCAACAGAACACTAGTACTAGCTTTGGATATTATGCAATTGCACAGTTTATTTTTAAAGGAAATTTGTACACATTTTATTCATAAAAAGGGAACTTGTCCTTCCTTTGATAACTACAGCTTGTCAGCATTTTACATGAAATCCATACATGAAGTGTATTGGTATGGATCATAAGCTCTTACCCATTCCTTGGTATGGAAACATTTTAACAATATACAAAGTTGCCATAATCTAATTGTTCATTCTCTTCCTCCCTGTTTGATGGCACAGTCCTTCAGTGCACAGCTGGTGAGAGATAAAGGCATACATTTAATGGTTCCTTCATCTACAGTAAAAAGTTCCACATCCCCCCCACACCTGGTCTTTTCTTGTATTCCCTTGTTGTTTAGGTGGACCACACATCAGCATTATTATTAAAGTGGATTGCCTGCAAGATAGCTTTTACATATGTCTAAAGTTAGGATTATTACAGTTTTTTCAAGTAGTGACATTCTCTGGTGTTGGAAGTAGAGCTGGGTGAATTTTTTTTTTTTTTTTACAGTGAAAACTGTAGTTTCAGGTGAACCAAAACATTTCACAAATTTGCATCCATTTCACTTAATTGTTTCAGTCTAAACATTTAGAATTTTCTGTTTGAAACCACTTTCCATTTAGAATGTTACTTCAATTTTATAAAAAAAAAAAATTAAAATGAAAAAGCTCAAAATCGAAGTGAAACTTTTTGATTTACCTGAAAAGGGAGGGTGGGAGGGGTTCGAATTTTTGAAACTTCCAAAATAGCTGTAGAGAGAGGCCCTTTATTCCAAAACCTGAATACAGAGTTGGAATGTGGTTTTAAAAAAGTAGAAAATGGCCACATGCAAAGCCTGCTTGCTGGGCCCAGGTGTAAAGTGATCCCTGGAAAGTCACAACTTTACCTGTGCTTTTCATGAAATTGAAATGCTCTAAGTAAATAGAGTTTACAAGCAACAAACACACAGTGTTTAGGAACAGTGCCCCCATTCCACTCCCTTACTGTAATATAATTTCTGCACAACTGAGATACTGACAAAAATTGCTACCAGGGTAGCTGTCCTGTGTATTGGGAGAAACTTCCCTCCCTTACATCCCTGGATAGGAATATGTAGGCAAGGTGGAGGCACCAAATTTAAAAAGCAGTTTAATAAAATAACACTATCAAAATGGCTCTTCTATTGGTGTTTGTAACAGGGTTGGGCCTCACCACCTGGCGCCTCCTACTGGTTGTCTCTGGGAATTAGCTCTGCCCAGTGGAGCGCCCCCTCCTGGTGGTGTCCCATCCGTCATCTCTCCCTCAGTAGCAGGGTAGTGTGGCCCAACGGCCAGAGTCCATATAACTCCCCTCAGTAGCAGGGTAGTGTGGCCCAACGGCCAGAGTCCATGTAACTCCCCTCAGTAGCGGGGTAGTGTGGCCCAACGGCCAGAGGTGTAGGGGGATCCGGGCCCTCCCTCTCCACCGAGTCCCGACCCAGGGCTTTCCTAATCGCGGGGTTCCCCTTGCCGTTGGCTTGGCGGGGATCCGGCCGCAACACGCCGAGCATCAGTGTTGCTCTAACGCTGCTTATCCCTCAAGTTCCCCTGGGTCACTTCCTACCTTCAATATCGCGGTCTCCTCCAGAGACATGGGTTCTGGTCCGTTCCCCTCTGGCGGGTCCTCCATCTGAGATGCAGGGTGTGGGTCGGCTAGGCTGGCTCCTGGAGCCCCGAGCGTGGGCTGTCCCTCCTCGGGAGCTGGCTGTGTGCGTCCTTCTCCTCCGGCGGTCAGCCCCAACTGAGCGGCTTTGCAGGCTTTTATACCTAGTCACCAGTTGGAGCATGCCCAGCACGGTTTCCAGGGCGGGGCTTCCTCTGCCAGGAAGGAAGGGTTAACCCCTGCTGCGCCAGTGCGGGGCCGCTCTGCTCCATCACAGTGGTGCAGAGGAGGAAAAAAATCAAATATATTAAGAGTTGTAGGGGTGTCTTCTTCTTCCCACTTCTGCAATTTATTGAGTGTTAACTACACACTATAAGTGCAACCTGTTTAAAGCTACAGTAGTCACTTCTTCAGACTTTTCCAATAGTTACGGCTAGCTATTATTTTCTTTTGTTTACCTCATGCTTGTATTTTTATGTCTTGCCTATCTTCTTTTCCAGTGCACTTCATACCACTCGAAGAGGAATCAGAATAAGGGAAGAGAGTTTGATATATAAACTATTAGAATATTCTCCTTCTTTTATTGAATATTCATTCTCCACTTTTGCAGCAAGACACTATAGTATTCTACTTACTCTGTGAAAGTGTTCTCTTTACTTCACAAATAGCTAAAGATCATTTCCGTGATGGAGGCTTCAAAATGTTTTACATAATTTGTGGCCTGACATTTTCCAGGTGCTGAGAAGCCACAGTTGAAACTGTGGGTGCTGAGTTCTTCTGAAAAACTAGACCACTTGCCCTTAGCTGCAAGTACTGTATAATTTATTTCACTAGTGCTAGTAATGTTAGAAATGGCATTCAGACACAAGAATGTTATTTACAATCAGAACTTCATGAAATGTTTTTATTTTCTGTATTCTATAGAACATGAAAAGCAGCGGTTATGCAAGAGCACAGATTATATGAATTTGCACTTCAAAGTGAAATGGTTTTATAATGAGTATGTGCGAGAACTCCCTGCCTTACAGGATGCAGTGCCCGAGTATTCTCTGTAAGTAGTGGGGAGAATTTCCCCTGCGTTTGTGCTCTGCTTGTTAAGTTTTATTTTCTTTAAATATTTATCTGTTATAACACTAAAAGCAGAGTGCATTTAAGCTAAGCAGCACTCATAACCCTTTCTTTATACTCTGCACATATTTCCTCCTTAATTCTTTATTCCCGAAAATATGTTATACCAGATATTTTAAAAATTGTTAACCATTTCAGATTAATGTGTTTATTCAACAACTGCATTTAATAGAAGGGTTTCACAAATGGCAAAATCTTAAGGTCAGAGGATCCCAGGGGACGGCAGAAAATGTGGGTATGGCAACAGTATTAGTTATTTGTCGTTATAGTCATTTCATGCCAAAACCTGGAGTAAGATACAGCACTAATGTGCAATAAGAGCAATAAAAGTTTTTATTCCATATGACTAATTTTCTTCTGTTGTTTCTCTTTTCTTCTCGCTTGCTGCAGTTAATTCACGCTTTTAGTCCTATGCTCTATCTTCATTCACATTCCTATGTCTTCTGATTTTTAGAATTCCAATAACTTGCCTCAGAAAGTTTGGGGGTCTGTCATTGGTTTCCATAGACCATAAATCCAAAACTGCAAATAAAATACACCACAGCTGAGGTTTTACCAAATTAAAACTACCTCCAGCTCATCCCATTATTAGTAAGAATCCAAACATATGCTAAAAAAAAAAAAAAAAAAAGATGGAATCATTCTTGATAAAGGACACTTTCTAATTTCTAGAAGCTCACATACTCATGCACCTTGATCTGTGCATTATGTTCCCAATCCTTGTTGGTTGGGGAGGGAACAGAGAACATCCTCTTCTAGCCCCACAGAGATTCCTTAGAAAAGATAATACAGCCTCATTATCTTTGCTGTTGAGAGCTCCCATTGCAAGGACTTTAGGGGCAGCCACAGCCTGAAGGCTATCTTAGTAATATGATTCCAAATGCTTCCAGGATGATTCCAAATGCTCACCCAGGGCTAGAACTGTTTGCCTCCTACACTTCCCCCATGAGCTACATGGTGATCCACAGGGTTTCTAGGCAGATCTCATGGCCAATTCTGTGGCATTGACAAACTCTCAATAAATTGATAAGGAAGGAACTCCAGGAGAGAACCCTTACAGCTGTCTTTGCTCAGAATTCCTTCCTATACTTTCAACTGTGGGAAGGGGTTATGAGACCCCATATGTTTATCTACATATTCATAGAATCAGGAGGTCATCTAGTCCAACCCCCTGCTCAAAGCAGGACCAATCCCAACTAAATCATCCCAGCCAGGGCTTTGTCAAGCCGGGCCTTAAAAACCTCCAAGGTTGGAGATTCCACCCCCTCCCTAGGTAACCCATTCCAGTGCTTCACCACCCTCCTAGTAAAATAGTTTTTCCTGATATCCAACCTAGACCTCCCCCACTGCAACTTGAGACCATTGCTTCTTGTTCTGTCATCTGCCACCACTGAGAACAGCCTAGTTCCCTCCTCTTTGGAACCCCTCTTCAGGTAGTTGAAGGCTGCTATCAAATCCCCCCTCATTCTTCTCTTCTGCAGACTAAATAAGCCCAGTTCCCTCAAGGCCCAGTTCCCTCGTAAGCCATGTGCCCCAGCCCCCTAATCATTTTCGTTGCCCTCAGCTGGACTCTCTCCAATTTGTCCAAATCCTTTCTGGGGGGGAGGCCCAAAACTGGAAGCAATACTCCAGATGTGGCCTCCCCAATGCCAAATAGAGGGAAATAATCACTTCCCTCGATCTGCTGGCAATGCTCCTACTAATGCAGCCCATATGCTGGTTCTCTAGATATACACAAATTTGGTATTTATTTTAATGTTAGTAAGGGGAAAGCCCTTCTCCATAAAATGCACATATACCTCCCATTTATAGCAATTAGTGTTTTAGCAGAATTCATGCTTATGATGTGAAAGCAGTTAAATAACAAATAGGAATGCTATTTTATAATTAAAATTGGCCAAAATAAAAGGATCATATTTGCAACTCTAATACTGAGTGTGATATCTTTCAAAATTACATTTTTGCACCTGCCAAAACTGAGTTTATACATGCAATTCCAAAGCATACCATGCGCAGTAATGTATGAATGAAAAAATTATGGGGACATTTTAGAAGTCAGGTCAAAATCCAAATGGTTGATATTATATATAATCATCATATTAAAATGCCTTAATGTCATAAAAGAGCAATAACTCTGTGTATATTCCAGAATAAAATGAATATTTTAAGGCAAACATGAAACATCAATGGTTGTAATTTTTAGATGGTTTGAGCCTTTTGTCATTCAGTGGTTGGATGAAAATGAAGATGTCTCAATGGAGTTTCTTCATGGAGCACTGGAAAGAGACAAAAAAGATGGAGTAAGTCCTTTTTATAAAAAATTGTATTACGTCAGGAAAGAGATTTGGTATTACAACGTGCCATACAGTATAGGTACTCCTTATGCTGTGTCCTTATTAGACATCACACGCTATGCAGAGTCATTACTGGCCAGTACTTACCCTTCAATGCTAATCCTATGGCCAGATTCCAACTCCTGAGTGATTTTTTACCTACCTAAGATCCCCTTGCAACTGCAGAACTTATTAGCTGCTTGCCCTACACTAGTGCTTGATGCTGCTTTGCACTGCCCAGCAGCTCCTACATTTAATCTGGGAGGTGACAGGTCTTCAGAGGTTCCTTTCTATAGTTTCTGTATTGGTTTATACAGAACTTTCAGATGAGCACCCTTTTGGATGAACATTTTTATAGAAAAATATCTTTATCATATGTTTATTAATGCAGTGCAATGATAAAAATATTACTACAGCAATGCCATATTAATATAATAGTAGCATTCTCCAGTTAGGAGGGGGAGTATCTACAGTTATTAAATTCAAGTCTCATAAGCTGCAAATGACACACTTCCATAAGATCATATTGCTGTCAGACCAAAAAACGTGGGTAAAATCCTGGCCCTGTTGAAGCCAATCGGTGTGTTGCTATCGACTTCAGTGGAACCAGAATTCCATGCCACATATTTTGTGCAGAGATTCAGGTACTCATGATACAGCTCCAAAGAAGGCTAAATATTTATGTCCTAGTCCTGAAATGCAGCCCTGTAGCGCTGACTCCTTGGGAGTGCTAATGAAGCCAATGAGACTCCACATAGGTCTAAGTGTCTACACTAGCAGATCCCAGTGCAGGGCTATTGCTGTAGTTTGTAAAGCTTCATCCTGTTCCCAGAACAAAAGAAAAGAACACATAAAATCACTGTCTGTGTTACACCCTGTAAAAGTGCAAGCAGTTTTTTTTAATTTCCATTTTCTGGCTCTAGGATGGATTTAAAGTGTTAGAAATTCAATGAATACTGTTGTATTGTCAGAACGTGGGTTTGCAAATGTTAATTCATTTTAATTGGGGTTTTTGTTCCCTCCCCCTCTTTATTCTCCTCTAGTTCCAGCAAACATCAGATCATGCCCTTTTCTCTTGCTCTGTGGTAGATGTCTTCACACAACTCAATCAAAGCTTCGAGATTATCAAGAAACTGGAGTGCCCTAATCCTGAAGCACTGTCTCATTTAATGAGAAGATTTGCGAAGGTAGATTAAAATCAATGCATCTTGACCAAGTTTCAGAGAAAGCGACATTCTGTTGTCGTGCTTAAAAACATTCTAATGTTATTTAGAACCAATATTCCCTGTTGCAGACCAGGATCCTTAGAGAAGTTGCTTTGTTTTTATTCTTGGGAAATGACCAGTTTATTTTCTCTTAATTCATCACCCAATTTGAGGAACTCTAATCTCTGGACTTCATGTTTTAGTAAAACTAGATATGAGCATATGTTACCGAATGTCTTGACTTCTTTGGTGTTCTTGTTAATCATTGAATCACTACTTAGATTTCAGAGCAATTCATCAGTGAAACATAGTGATCTGTCGGGTCTGTGGGATTGCTGGAAGAAATCTGGAGCCTTACTTCTGCATAGTTTTGACACCAAAGCATTGTTGGTTGAAGCCCCTCCAGAGTGTGTGTGTGTGTTTCTTGCTCTGCCACCTCATCAGCATGTTGGTCCTGCTGATGGTAGTTTGCCCTGCTAGGCTGTTTTGGAAGCTTGGTGAATTTATGAGCTTTTCTTGAAGACCCAGTGCGGCTAGTTCATCTCTCATTCTTTGATGTCACTTAAAAATCAACGATTTTCCATTTTCTGTGGATTGCTAAAGAATACATTGAAAAGTGCTGATCTCTGTGGGATCTTATGTGCTGCCCTCTATTTCTCCATTTTAAGGTTTCACCACTGATAAATACTCCCTGCTTAATGTCTATCAGCCAGGATTTCTTAACTTACTTTATTGTACAATATTTCTAGCTATACAGTGCTATGTGCTATGACAAAGACCCTCATTTCCAACTGATCCCCCAGGATCTACAGGGCTTGGGAGCGGGTCCTGTGGCCTATTTGGCAGGGCATGATGGGGGAGGAACTCAAGGAGGGAATCGTCATAGGTCTTTCCTCCCCAGAGCTCTCAGCTGTGGGCTTTGCTTTAGAAGGGGAGGCAAGCCGCATGACCTAGTGGATAGAGAACTGAACCAGGATTCAGGAGACTTAGATGCTATTCCCAGTTTCTAAATCCAGCTGCCACTGCATTGTTAGGTGACCTTGGACAAGTCATTTCACTGCTTTGTGCCTCAGTTTCCTCATCTGTAAAATGGGGGTAATCATGGTTGTCTCCTTTGTGAAGCACTTTGAGATCTGTTGACGAAAAGCACTCTACAAGAGCTAGATATTATTATTTTGCTCATTATGTTTCTCAAAATACCATAAGTGGTTAAGCTACATCACGTGCTATTCACCTGCCATTTTTTGTTTGCTTGTTAACCTAAGGTTATTTCTGGGTTCTATGGTCTGAGTCACAAGTTTTAGACCATAAACATGTTTTTCTTTTGAAAATAGACTCCACTGCTGAGACCTTGCATGTCAAGTTCTAACCTTCTGCGGGTATTAACAGCCGAGTTTACAGGGTTCACCCTTAAAGACTTGCCAGTTGCCTTAGATAATTAAATAATATCACCTGAGCATTTACAGTATTTCCCTTAATTCCCAGAATAATAACTACAAGGAGGTAGAGATAATACTGCTAATACAGGGTGATCACTGTATATATACTTGAAAAGCAGTGTTTGTTATAGAGCCTTAACTGTAGTTATAATAAACCTATCTGGAAAACGTGGTGCTGTGTGCAAGTGAAATATCACACTTCAGGTAAAAGCCAAAAGTAATTTTCTCTATCATATTTGAAGGCAAGTTTGAACAGCTGGGGGTGGATCAGCCACTTGTTTTTTCTAGGTTTATTAATCTGCTGTTTGATAAGCTTGCACATTTTGTTAGGCCAGCTTTCTACTTGGATTGCCACATTCTCTTGCAAGCTTTAGAATTCCATTACAATGCCAAGGGCTATGAAATAGTTTGTATTTACACATAATTCTGTGCTTTCATCACAACTTTTCTCAGTCTGTAAACAAAGTATTTATTCACGTGATTGTTGAGGATTAAGTTCACGTTGCTGGGGTTTAAACATTGCTGCTTTGGTTCTTATTTGTCCATTATATTTTAATCTGTAGGTTGTCACCCTAGAGGATTTTGAGCTCACTAACGTTCTGCTTAGCATATGTCGCACAATGCACAAACTAGAGCCCCTCAATGTTCTTACTTCTCAGTGTCAGTATAACTAAATGCAAAGTGTTTCTGTTATAGAAAATTACATTCCATTAAAAAAGAAACATTTATCCATTGTGAAGGGATTTAAAATGTGACCTTTCCAATTTTCTAAGCAAATGCAAACTAAAATTTTGTAAATTTAATCCAGAACTATTTTCTATCATTTACAAATATTATCTGCTTTGAAAACAAGCCTCCACTTTCACTTGAATACTATTTTGTATTTTTACTTACAATTCTTCAGAGACTGTTACATGATTATATATCTCAATTAAACATTTCCTTTTCCACCCTAGACTATCAACAAAGTGCTCCTTCAGTATGCTGCAATTATTTCAAATGACTTCAGTTCATACTGTGATAAAGAAATTTTGGTAAGTAAAATTTAAAAAATACTAATATTATTTCAGATATTATTTCTGTCTTTAAAATGTGCACTTAGAGCTCTTATTATATTTACTAGAAATATGATCATTTTTATTGCAAGAAAATGAATGGAAAAAGGGAGAGTTTTTTTTCCAGATGATAACCTATTTTCCTTGATTGCTTACATTGTAATGTAACAACTGATGGGGGTGGGGGAAGGAAAGGATAAATGAATATTAGAAGGAGAAATACTGTGCACAGAGAAGTGTGGAAGAAACTGGTGATTTCCTGTATTTGAAGTGATTACGTTGATGGGGATTTGCACCCAAAAACCTTAGCTCTAAATTAAGGAGGTTTTTGTGTCTGACAGAATCCTATATTCTCTCCTAAATCCCAGTAAATGATAAATGACTGTAATATGACCTCCACCCTTCTACTCCTTGTCCATACAGTAGTGAAAAAGAATGGTAAACTATTGTGCTGCCTTGTTGCCTGCAGAGAATTCTTGAATAACAAGCCCGACGGACACAGCAGTAAATGAGACACAGACAGTGCAGTTAAATAAGAGTCACAATATTATTAATGACTTAACATAACCTAGGAACACCCCCGCATAGGGTTACCATATTCAAACATTTAAAAAAGAGGACACTCCACGGGGCCCCGGTCCCGCCCCCGGCCCTGCCCCAACTCCGCCCCTTCCCCGCCCCCGCCCCCGCCCCAACCCCACCCCTTCTCCGCCCCCATTCCAACCCCTTCCCCAAAGTCCCTGCCCCAACTCTGCCCCCTCCTCTGAGCACCCTGCATTCCCCCTCCTCCCTCCCGCTCTGATCTTGGTTGGGGGTTGCTAAGTGCTTCCCTGCTCCCCACTCGCCCCGCAGCCCCTATGCCCTTGCCTGCCCTGCTCCTCCTCGCCCTGCAGCCTCTGCACCGCCTGCCTGCCCTGCCCCTGCAGCCTCTGCACCCCCCCGCCCCTGCAGCCTCTGTGCCCCCTGCTCCCCACTCGCCCTGCAGCCTCTGTGCCCCCTGCCTGCCCTGCCCCTGCAGCCTCTGCACCCCCCCACCCCTGCAGCCTCTGCTCCCCCCGCCTGCCCTGCCCCTGCAGCCTCTGCACACACACACCCCCTGCAGCCTCTGCTCCCCCGCTCACCCGGCAGAGGGAGAAATGCAGGCTCCACGTGGAATCACACACTGCCGGCTGCTCTGTGGGGGAGGGGGGAGCGGGGGAGGGGGAGAGACTCTGGCTGCTAGAGGCCCTAGTGGCTGCGAGCGGCTTTCAATCAGGCCAGGCGTCCAATCAGCCGCGCCGCACTCCGCAGGAGGGGAAATCCCGGACATTTCTACTTCATTAGAAATCCCCCCCGGACGGCCATTTAACACTGAAAAAGCCGGACATGTCCGGGGAAACCCGGACGGATGGTAACCCTACCCCCGCAGCAAACTGACCTAGTGTATGGTGTCACTACTGTGCCATCAAGACCAATACACCCAGGAAAGGCCTTGCTGGGCCTTGCCCAACAAGTACCACACCAGGAGTTGGTACATGCCATAACTGTATACTACCTTGTCCTCATCTGAGTAACTGAGGTGCAACCCAAAAGGTACCTTATTCTGTCTGTATATTTAGGTTCAAACTCATATGCAGGACCTGGCCTTAACCTGTCACATTTTTATGCACAGGTATGGGGTTATGTTAATTGTTCCTGCACCAACAGCAATGTTTGGGACAAATACATAGTTGTACAGGGACAGTGTTTCTCCAGTCCCAAAAGATTGGGCCTTGCTTGTGCTCTGGGAAGATAGAAAATCCCAGACTGAATGGCTAGTCTACAGTCCTGGAGAATCCTTTCTCAACCCCTAAAAGGTGATCAGTTGAAATTCAAAGCCCACTTAGAATAGCAATAACAAATTAGGATGTGCAGGAACCACTGCGGGGGGGAGAGACAGCTCAGCAAAATGATGCTGAAAGCCAGGAAAGCCCTGCAGTAAATAACCCTCTCCCAGTCCCTTACAGAGAGGGAGCAGAGCTATTAGCCACCAGCCACAGCTCCCAAGTTGTCCTATTTGGCACTGCAGGGGACTGGCAAAGGACAAATAGGGAGCACCCACATGAAACTCAGTACACAAGAAAATCCTCCCAGAGTGCAGAAGGACTGTCTCACCCATTGCTGGTCCCAGCAAACAGTCCCTGAATAGGGTGGGCATTCTGTGAGGTTCTTTGCACATCAACTCCCATTAGAGTCTAGACAACGTAAGGGTGTTTAGCCCCTCGGAGGAGAATCCCGGCTTCTGGCAGGACTGGGCCCAACATCCTAAACTAAGCTAAAGAGAGAATTTTGAGGGAATGAAAAGCTGTTGTTCAAAAACCCAGAAGTTCAGAACTCTTTTATAGATTTATGAAAGTTGAGAAGTAAACTGGAGCACAAATTATTTTTTTCACACATAGAACTGGGGGAGGAAATATGTTGGTGAGATTGGAACTGAACTGAATAAATGGAAAAATGGAAATAATATGCCCTCGTTGTCACCCAAGCGTGATATTATCACAATCCAAAGGTCACCAGCATATACAACAAAAGAAATCAGAAATATGTTATAGCTAAATAGCTGTACGCAGTGTACATTTCCCAGATCTGAAGAAGAGCTCTGTGTAAGCTTGAAAGCTTGTCTCTCTCACCAACAGAAGTTGGTCCAATAAAAGATATTACCTCACCCACCTTGTTTCTCTAATAGCTAAAGAGGAACAGTCCTTGGTTCCTTCCTCTTCTAAACACCACAGACAACATTTGAAATATTAATTTTTCTACCAAACCACAGAGATACGTATGGTGGAAAAATATTAACTATTCTCTGCTTACTATGCAATTACATTTAATATAATGTTAATAAATAAAACTACAAGTAATGAAAGAATTTAGAAAACTTTAACTTTAGGCAGTGGTTTTATATAAATATTTCTACAAGGAAATGAATTTTATTCATATGGATGTGTCATATTTCAGACTCCCTTTCTACTTCAAATATCTTCATCCTTGGAGCCCCTATAGAAAACATATTGAAAAAGACATACATAAGGAGATTTCCACAGATTTTGCGTCTGGCAATACTTAAATCTTGCTTACATCAGAAAGAAGACACTAAGCAGCAAGCCAGGCTTGGCAGTCATTACTGTAATAATTCCAAGAAACGCTGCTAGTCAGTTCACAACATACCAGAATACCATGTTGTCATAAATTTGCCCAGCAGGGCATTTTCATGGTTCAGTCAAGGTTCTTCATCTTGTGAGCTATTGCCATAAGTAGCGGAAATAAGCAATCAGTGTAGATATAGATATATACATGCAAGTGTTGTGTGTCTTTACACAGATTCTCCCTACCTCCCACAGGAGCCACTGAGCTGAAAATGCCTTGGGGTAGAGTATCTCCCGTGATGTGGGAGTGAATACATCCCCTGTTTTTCTCCCCATGCATCTGTCAGTCATCCAGCCCACCTGCTCCAGATGGTTGTTTATATATGGGTTTGGCCCAAAATGTTGCCATAGACAATTGCACTTTACATGTAGTGTACAAGTGAATTAAGACTTGTAGTATTGTACTTACAGTTCATTTCAAATTAATCCTAGCATTAAATCAAATTAACTGTTTTCTAGAATGAATGGACTCTGATACCTAATGTTAGGTCATCAAATCTCACGGTTTGTGTTGCCTCTCAGTCTGTCCAATGGGATTTTTTATAATCATTGAAGTGATTGATTTCTGAAGTCACCCTTGAACGCTAATCTTTGCTAAGGCTTTGGATAAGATAAATCTCATTATGGCTTTGTAACAGAGAAAAGGCATAAAGGATTGCAACAAATGACTTTATAGAAAGATCACTTATTTTTATTAGAAATCATCTATTTGAAATTCATATTTCTAGATTAATGAGATTTCATTTGATCTGGTGATCCCAAGTCTTTCATTTGATAGAAGAGATTTAAATAAATACTGCTTTATGATTGTAGTTAAGTGCAAAGTTATTAAATTTATTTTAGGACCATTTTATTAATTCCATTCAATAAAATTGACATGCAAACTTTTCAAATAAAAAACAGACATAGCAGTACATTTTCTATGGTGTATATTTCTTTATTAAATGTATCATCATATTTCCCCACAGCCTGGCACTGTTTATGAACATATTTCAGCTTTATGCATTGTGCTTGGTATTCAGTTTTGTGTGTTCCGTTTGGCTGTCTGACTCCTCTAAGTTTCCATAAATAGAACTCTAAAGTTCAACATATGCAATAAGCTGGGAACATTTTTGAGCCTCAGATCTACTCTCATTGAAGTCAATGGAAATTTTGCCAGTGAATTAACGAGTGCAGGATCAGGTCCTTAATGAGCAACTATGATCTCAGAGGAAACTTTGAAAACTGTCTCATTAGGAACAATTCACCTGATACTTGTTTTTGTATTTAGCTTCTCTCTTCCTTTATTGCCAAGAGCACTGGCAGTTGTTTAGAACAGTGGTTCTCAATCAGGGGTCCGGGGCACCCTAGGGGCCGTGAGCAAATTTCAGGGGGGCCGCCAAGCAGGGCCAGCATTACATTTGCAGGGATCCAGGGTCCCATGGTAGAAAGCTGAAGCCCTACTGCATGGGGCTGAAGCCGAGGGCCCTGAGCTCTGCCACCTGGTGCTGAAGCTGAAGCCTGAGCAATGTAACTTCACAGGAGCCCCTGTGGCGTGGGGCCCCAGACAACTGCCCTGCTTGCTACCCCCTAATGCTGGCCCTGGCTTTTATATGCGGAAATATCAACAGCGGTATCATAACCTTAAGATATGACAGACTCTAGTATTCTGTGTTTGTGCACTGCCTAGAACAAGGGGCTACGTTCTTGGTTGGCACTGCTGTAATAAACATAATTCATGATAGAAACTGGCTATTTTCAAGGGTTTGCAGGTTTATTTCCTAGGGGAACTAGTTGGGGGCGGGGTCTTTTGTCTGGAATGTAATCCAAGATACTGGTGCTGAGTGCCCTCTTTCACATTCTTTCTGACCCAATCTTTAAGGATCCAGCACCAATATCAGATAGAAAAAGGAGCAGGACGTAAAGGGGATAGGGTGGCTGCCTCTTGTGGGCAGGGATGGGGAGGATGGTTCAATAGTTACATGAGGTCAAGTCACTTGTTGCGGGAGGAAGAGAGATGAGAATCTCAGGACAGTGTGCTAAAATTTAGTGTACTTTATTGAGTATGAGTGATGAAAGGGTTAAGAATACTAGATAAGGATCTTCTATTTTTTTTCTCCAGTTTCCTTTTTCTTTCTGACCCTCAGTTCCCTTAGATTTTATAGAGTAGGATGCTGAATTATTTAAATGCTCTTCTGAACACTAAAGTCTACTCAAACCATGTTTCAGCCAACAGTGAGCTGCATCACCAACTAAAAGGGTTTTAAATGTATGTGGGATGCTGTTATCACTTCAGCACCCGTCGTCTTCTTGTGAGGTTTAAGTATAGATTCATTATAGAAATTCATTTCTTGAAGCTTTGAATGTAATGTGCAGATGCACTGGAACAGTAATCCTGCCAAAACAGAAATCTATTATCAAGATTTTTTTTACATTACAAAGTAGTGAATAAAGCCATACGAATTTACAAAGCCCCCGTAGTAGAACCTTTTTTGCATAATTCCAAAATAATCCGCTTAATTTAATCTCTGTATCTGGCAATTGCTATCTTTTGCAGTGTGATTCCCTCGGTCTTTGGCATACAGTTTGAAAAAGACTGTGGCTTAAGTGAAAAGCTTAAACAATAGTATTTTAAAAATAAAATATGAAGGCATGTTTATGCGACTAATATTGCTTAGATTATTAAAGCACTTTTAAAGTAATGCAAAATTGTTCACCTATGGAATAATTTAGAGCTTGTTATAGAATTGCCTGATTTATTCATATGCTGAGATCTCAAATGTTACCTTCATTGTAGTACATAAATGTATCAGTTTTATGATGGAATAGGAAGATTGATTTCCAGCAAAAAAGAATCAGATATTACAATCTTGAATCACTTTATTTATACTTCTTCCTTTGGCCATTCTCAACTGTTATGTTTTAGTGTGTTTGTATCTGTTTGTTCATATAACAACACATGCTGTACTTTATTTACAGCCCTGTATCTTGATGAACAATATCCAGCAGTTGCGAGTCCAGCTTGAGAAAATGTTTGAGTCTATGGGAGGAAAAGAGGTAGGTGGTTTTAATTCCCTGCATTCACTGCACAGCTACTTAGAGATCATTAGCGGTATGTTCACAACCTATCCACAGCCTTTGCTTCTGCTTGCCAAGAAAATCAAAATGTAAAAATAAGACATATTACAGAGTTTGAAAAAATATAATATTTTATTTAAAAGCAATGCCATGTGAGAACTATATAATGCACCGGGAATGTCTGGGGAAACAAGTAATGCATTTTCATAGAAACATGCTAATGATCTGTAAAGTTCCACCAATATTGGATGTTTTATGTTGCATTCTATAGTGCCAGCTTGATTTTAATGTTCGTACTGGAATATATTTTATTTTGGTTTTTTATGTACAAGTTTGTTTTGTTTGCATCTTCAAAATTCTGTAGAAAATATGCCTTGTGCTTTGTCTGTAATGTGTCATGTCTTTGTCCAATGCCTTTGACTTGCAATCCACTGAGCAGAAGAAAGAAGGAGAGCGATTCTCTTATGAGGTTTGTGATAGTAAGCATCTTTTATTATACCTGACTATATTTCCTAAGGCTAACAACAGTTTCCTACTAATTTCCATGTTTGCATTTAATAATTCCCTATAATGCTAACTACTATGTTTTGGCACTCAGTTTACACTCTGTATTAAATCTTTCAATATGCAAATAGTGTAAAGTATTCCATAAATCACAAGAAGGTTGTAAAATATATTCTTTTAAATGCACTTTCAATACCTAAAGTCCCAATCTTGCAAATCTCATTCAAATGAGTAATTCTAATCCACTCAAGCAGCATTCCAGCAATCATTCCTACTCAGCAAAGCATGTGCTTAATTTTAAGCATGTCTTTAAGTCCCATTGACTTTAATGGGACATAACCACATGCAGAGGTGCTTTGGTGAAACAGGTCAAGTAATTCCTCTGATGTAATTGATTACTCACATGAGTAAGGTTTACAGATATTCCATCCAGAACAGACCTTCCACCTGGAAATGTTGATGTTGCTAATTAAATGGATATTAATGTATTCTTTTTCAAACTGTTACATCCAGTGTGAATCACTATACACTGATACAGAAACATTTTAAAGCCTGATTTTTATAAGATAGAATAACATGAAAGGGGAAGTCAATGCCCACCACCCACCCTGGACAACTGTGAACCTTAAAATGCTCCTCACTTTTAATTTTATTGTGATGTATGTTTGTTTAGCTAAAACAAAGGTCTGAAGACATAAATCTAATTCTTCTTAAAAAACACTAAAGACATGATTTGCAGCATAATAAACGAGTGCTTCCGACAGACTCTTGTGCAACATGCAGGCATTTTAAAAAGCTTCATATCCGAAAATCATGCTTTGCTGAAGTTCATATTAGGCGCAGTGCATTGTTTTATGTCAAGTAACTTAAGATGTTACTGACACAATATGATGTGACATATCCCAAGCTACAGGTCAAATAACCAAGTTTCAAATAATGATTTGCTCTGTGAAAATGAAGTTGCTTTGTAAAACTTATTTTCTTCCTTGAATAAAGAAGACCTTAAGATTTGAGTGAGGTACTCAAAATCCAATTGCCTTAGCAATAATCATGTTATTGGTAATTACATATACATAATTAGAATGAAATGCAGCTGTTTTATCAATTTTCATCTGTATATTAATGCTTCATCTCTTTAGGAACTGTATAAATCATAATATTTTAAGGAGCCAATCTTGCCAGTTTCAGAGCACGTCCCATGATACTGAAGTCAGTGAGAATTAAGAAAACTCATCATCTTTTAGAATTAGGCCCAAAATACATTACTTGCCATTCATTCAATTAGCACTGTCAGGGGTCCCGCAGCAAAAACATTTCTGCAAATTTTTGCACCTGATAAAATCAGAGTCAGTGCACAATAGCGATGATACTCTGGTGTACTGGCTAAAACTGGGGGGAGGCACATCAAGCGTTTATAGAAATACTGTGGATTTATTGTTGGTATCTTTTTGTTAAATGGGCAGTAAAATGTAATCAGCTCACCTGTGTAAAAGTGGAACTCTTCCTATTTCCCCATGAACAAATAGGGATGGTGAATGTTCTGTTCCCACTCAAGTACATCTCTAATATTCCTCCTAAAGCAGCAACCTTTTTATAGCTGTTACTGAACCATATTTTAGAGATTTTTCTCTCTGTTTAAGGAGTGGGAAATGAAGAGCTGCAATATTTTTGTCAATGCTTCGTTATAAAGGGTGCTAAAAGTGTATCAGCCAGATTCTTACTAGAAAACAAAAATCTACTGTGTTATATCTGAATTATTTTTGTTTAATTTGTGTATTGTTACTTCATTATGCAGCCGTAGGTTAACTGTGCGGCTCCATGTTGACATTAAAAATCAGATGCACAGGATCCACTATTCACTCAGAAGTTCATTATTAAGTATCATCTGCATGATGATGCTCCCCGGAATGTGGTAGGTGCTTTCCAAACGAGACATTAGACACAATCCCTGCCCCAAAGAAAAATCTAAGTGAACAAGTATCTTATAAAGGAGATAGCATACAATCAGTTTATTTTAAAAAAAACCCAACTATTCCCGCTAGCCCTTTACCTAATCATTGTGCCAGGAGATGGATAGAGCAAGATATGAAAAGGTAGTGGATGGCAATGATCTTTTTTGAGATAGTGTGTGAATTCCAGAGGGAAGAGCGTAGGAAGGGGTGTCAGGTTTTAATGGAAGGGGTGAAAGGGCTGGAGGCAGTAACAAGGAAAGTGGCAAGAAATGAAAAGGCTGGCAAAAAAAAAAAAAAAAAAGGGGGAGGGCAGAAGTCACCAGAGGGAAGGAGAAGGAGACCAAGAAAAAGTGGAATGGATTTGTGTTGGCACGAGGGGACCAAGAATTTGGAAGGGGAAGGAGGAGCTGTTGATGGCAAAAGGGTAGAGAAGTGTAAGTAGTGGGAGATAGCTACATTCTTTTCTCTTGATAATTCATGTTTATACACAGCAATTGCTGAAATGTTTCTAACTGGATTTTTTTTAAACCTCATTCCTCTATGACTTAACAGTTATCCTGTTTTCCCTCCAAAATTGGCTCATGTCTGAAATGGGGGAGAAAACTCCCTAAAAAATTAAATTATCTTTCTATCAGAAAGTTTCATCTGGTTTTAAAAAAGAACAAAAACTGCATTACGGGAGTAGATGGACATACAAGAGGTGTGTACAGCATGTGTTCCCTGTCGGTCTGTCTGTGCCAATCTGTTGTCTCTTGTCCTATAAGCTATCTGGAGCAGAACTGTCATTTTGTTGCATTTATACGGTTCCCAGCACAATGGGGTGCTGATCCATGACTAGGTCTCTTAAGCATTATGATAATACAAATAATAAATAATATATAAAATATCAGTATTTTATTTCACTTACTATATTTTTAAGTGAACTTAATACTTGTGAAAGTCTTTCAGGACTCTAAAGTTATCTATCCCCAGGACACCCTCAGTATTCCTGTAAATTTCTCCATACTGCTGCACCAATATTCCTTGACTCTGACCTGTCTTAGGGATGAGAACCACCATGCCCATTCAATCTCTGGTGTCCATGATGCCCAGTAAGGATGCACATTAGTGCCAGAATGATTGGAAGCATATGAAGGGAGATTGGAAAAACTTGTATAGTTTCTAAGGTAACAATTTCAATCATGATAAAAATATATTAAATAATGAATGGTCTAGAGAAGGTAGATAGGAAACTTCTGTTCTCCCACAATAACAAGACGGCAGTCAATTAAATTTAAAGGTAGTGAATCAAAACTAATAAAAGGAAATACATTTTTATACAATGCATAATTAGACGGTGGCGCTCATTGCCTCCTGATGGTGTGGTGGCCAAGAATTTAGCAAGATTCCAAAGGGGATTGGATATTTATATGACTAAGAAGAATATCCAGAGCTATAATTGTTAATGCTAACAAAATTATTAAAAGGATATTAAAACTCCTGTTTCAGGGTCTAAGCCAGTTGCTAACGATAGTGGATTAGGAGACCTAATGTGTGGGGCAGATTATCCCATAACTACTTATTGTAAGATTCTTACATCTTCCTGTGAAATATCTGGTTCTAGCCACTGTCAGAGACAGGATACTGGACTAAATGGACCTCAGGTTTGATCCAGTCTGGCATTTGTTCTCTAAGAACTGAGACTAACAGCATATTTCATATCAGGCACCAAATTGCCTTCAAACCTCAGTGACTTTCTGTAACTAAAAACCCATCATCAGATTCTGATCACAGCCTAAAATCTAAAGTTACTGCAGATTTACAGTGTCGTAACTACAATCACAATCTAGTTCCCATTCTGATTTGACCCACTGACCTAAATCCGAAAGACTCCAAAATTCTATTACCAATCTCCTGAGTCATCCTATACTACTCATCTTGAAAACAAATACACTCACAAAGTACACTCGCCCACCTAATAATGTTTATTTCCTATTACACTACTTTATATAGGATTTTACTCATGTGTTTGAACTGAACCAGTAAGATTATTTCTCTATAGAACTCCCCTCTGTTCCTGATAGCGTTACTAGTCTCAAATACCATAAAACAGTGAAAATAGTCTGTGCAAGTTATGAACCCCCATCTCTATTACTTGAATATTAAGTTATATAGTAAATGAGAAATGAGAGTTGACACACTGAGAAATTAATTGCTGTATCAATGCTCTCGTAGCCTAGATAAGTAATTGAATACAGTAGAAAAGTCAAGTTTAAGTTACAGTGCTGCTTCTAAATCTTGTTTCCTGGAAACTCAGCAAGGATCTGCAAGCCCTGATTTGGGATAAAATGAGTTATCATTAATGTTATATCGCAAAGGAAAATACAGACTATTAGAAAGTGACAGAACACATATCAGACAGGAACATAACACATTCAATGGTAAACCATTAATCATTACTCTTAGAACCAGTTCAGAAACACTGCTCTGTATTCCAGAACTCAAAGGGTTACATTCACCCCTTTGCCACTTCAAACCCCTTTG